GGTTGAAATTTGTTTAGAGTTCCAGATGTTTTTCAACTGTAGAAATGCAGCCCTTGCTTTGCCAATCCGCGCCTTCACATCTGCATCGGATCCACCTTTCTCGTCGATGATGCTGCCCAGATATGTAAAGGTGTTAACGTCCTCTAAAGAATCTCCATCAAGAGTGATTTGGTTGGTGCATGTTGTTTTGCATCGGAGAATTTTGCTTTTTCCTTTATGTATGTTGAGACCTACTGCTGCAGAGGCTGCTGCTGCTACACCGGTCGTCTTCTCTTGCATTTGTCGTTGTGTGTGCGACAGAAGAGCCAGGTCATCTGCGAAGTCCAGATCGTCCAGCTGCTTCCTAGCTGTCCGTCCACTGAATACCGTGCTTCCCTCCAGATGCTGCCGTCTTCATAACCAGTCGGTCACCAGGAGAAAGAGAAAGGGTGAGAGTAAGCAACCTTGCCTCACACCGGTCTTCACCTCGAAAGAGTCTGTTAGCTGTCCTTCGTGTACGATTTTGCAGTTGAATCCATCATAAGAATTCCGCATGATGTTGACTATCTTCTCAGGCACACCGTAGTGTCGAAGAAGCCTCCATAGTGTTTTCCTATCCACGCTATCGAATGCTTTCTCGTAGTCGATGAAGTTGATGTAGAGTGGTGAGTTCCATTCAATTGATTGTTCCACAATGATCCGTAATGTAGCGATTTGGTCAGTACACGATCGATCCTTACGAAATCCAGCCTGTTGACCTCGAAGTTGGGCGTCTACGAAGTCCTTCATTCTGTTCAACAATACCCTGTTGAAAACTTTTCTGTGAATTGAGAGAAGAGTGATGCCTCTGTAGTTCTCACACTTGTTCACACCGTCTTTCTTTGACGAGTTGCCCTTCTTTCCAGTCTGTTGGTACGTGTTCTTCATCCCAAATCCTGCTGAAGAGACTGTGGAGTATCTTTGCAGTTGCCGCCACGTCTGCCTTCAATGCCTCTACTGGAATGTTGTCTGGTCTCGCTTCTTTGCCGCTCTTGATTTGTCTGATGGCCATACTGATCTCTTCAATTATAGGGCCGCCAACATCGATTGGGAGGTCCGTAAATGCTGCGTTGATGTTGGATGTGTTCAGTGGAGCTGGTCGATTCAAGAGTTCCTCAAAGTGCTCTACTCACCTATTTCGCTGTTCTTCAGTGTTGCTGATACTTTGCCTTTCTTGCTTTTCACTGGTCGTTCTTGTTTACGATAGTCTCCAGCGAGCTTCTTTGTTGTCTCGTACAATTGTCTCAAGTTTTCGTCTCTTGCAGCATTTTCCGCCGTCATTGCTAGATCTTCCACATATTTTCGTCTGTCAGCTCTGATGCTCTTCTTCATTTCCCTGTTTGCTTCTGTGTATGCAGCTTGTGCCTTAACTTTCCCTGCTCTTGGTCGGCTGACATTGATTGCTGCCCTCTTGTTCCTCCTTTCTTCAATTTTTGCAAGAGTACCAAAAGAGATCCAATCCTTGTGATGGTACTTCCTGTGACCCAGAACTTCGTGACATGTTGAAGTGATTGCCTCCTTGATCCCTTTCCAATTGTTCTCCAATATTGCGTCCTCTCCATTGAGTAGATCGTGCAAGGACTGGAACTTATTTCTGAGGGCTATCTTGAATTCGTTGAGTTTTACGGTATCCCGAAGAAAGACTGTATTAAACTTGTGTGATGTTGTTTGCTCCGTTGTCCAGTGTTTCTTGAGTTTCAGTTTTATTTTAGTGACCAGCAAGTGGTGATCTGAGGCTATATCAGCTCCTCTCTTGGTTCTCACATCCTCCATGGTCCTTCTGAACTTTTTATTGATACAGATATGGTCAATTTTGTTCTGAGTAGTGTGGTCTGGTGAAATCCATGTGGCTTTGTGTATGCGTTTGTGTGGGAATATTGTGCCACCGATGACCAGTTTTTCGAAAGCATATAGGTTTGAAAATCTCTCACCGTTTCCGTTCCTTTCTCCCAGTCCATGTCGTCCTATGTTGTCTTCATATCCAGTGTTTTCCATGCCAACCTTGCCATTTAGGTCTCCCATCAGAATGGTCAAATCCTTTGGTGAGCATCTGTCGACGATTAACTGCAGCCTTTCAAAGAACTGATCTTTAACATCGTCATTGTAATCATTGGTAGGTGCATAATATTGGATGACGTTCATTGTAATGTCCGCTTTCTTTGTTTTGAAGGATGCTTTAATGATCCTCGATCCATGAGATTCCCATCCTTTCAGTGCCTGTTGTGTATGTTTGAACAGTATCAGTGCAACTCCTTGTGTATGTGAAGCATTTTCCTCTTCATGACCAGAGTATGACAGCAGTTCCCCTGAAGCTAGTCTCAGTTGTCCTACCTGTGTCCAATGCGTTTCACTGATGCCGAGCACCTCGAGGTTGTATCTTTTCATTTCTGCTGCAACTTGAAATAGTCTTCCAGTCTCCCACAATGTACCAACGTTCCATGTACCGAAAAGAATGGTTGCTCTGGTTGTCAGAAGAGGCATCGGCCCCGTGACTTCCAAAGGAACTCGGCTTTCATCACGCGACGTCATAATTCTTCTTCCAACTCCCAGGGCAGAGTTAAAATAGTTTGAAGTATTTTTTCTGGTTAGCGTTTTTTTGGCAATTTAGTTTTTGACGGAATGGGGTCGCCAACCCCATGCCCATCCGGGCTTGGGACCGGCAGTAGCCCAGAAGGTTCCACTGACGGAGTTAATTTGAGTCAATAATCACAATGAAATGATTACGTCACTACACATAATAATATAAGTTATAAGTGTGATAGAAATTCGTACAGTACACTTGAAACTAAAAGATAAAAATTGATTAACAGATGAATCATGAAATTATTTTGATAGTTTAGAGGACATATAAAAGATTATAGACAAATCTACAGAAAGATACGAACATGCGAATAACACGGTATGGATGAATGAAATTATCGAACTAAATATAACAATCTCATTATAAAGGATAAAAAGGAGAGTAAATGTAAAATACAACGCAAAATGAAACCAAGAGGATGAATGCTAAAGAAACTAATCACATAAATTGCTACCATACATATTATACTCAGTTTTATTGGTTTTCTATGATATTTCGACCTTTATCTTACTGAATAGTACTAACCAGCTGATACTGTCATTAAGTGGACAGAAATAAATTATACTGATAGGGACGTGTTGAAAATACTTAGTAAGGATTTTTGTTGAAAAGGCATAAACTATGACGTTGTGCAATACAAGTGATCGCACTGAACGGGAGGAGACAGTTAGAGGCAAAGAACCGATTACAAACTCATCATAAGATGATGATAGAGTTTCTTGTAAGAACAGCACACTTTGGGATGTTGAGTAATCTCCAGATCTAAGTTTCTTCTTTTAAATGATTTGAATTTAATTGTCTCATAACTCCAAGAAGTAAAATGAATAATAATTACATTATTTGTATCAATCGCTGCAAAGGCTCAGTCTGAATTTTCTTTTTTAGACGAATATAATAAGTAGTGACTGTCAAGAGGACTAATTTTTCACCCTTATAATGGACAACAATAGTGACAAGAAAAATTGAGACTTACAAAGAAAACATGAAATGGTCATTTTTCAAAATTATTAACATAAACTAGAGAGATTACACTAAAAGACACATAGATCAGTAGATAAATTACTATGTCAAACAAATGTGAAATGATTCAAACAATGCAAATGGTTATTAAATAATTCTAAACAACTCATAACGGTCAAATTTAGGAGGCAAAAAGTTAAGCATTTTGATAGTGCTTATCTGCAAAAATCTTTCCAAAAAATAACCAAATGTCAGTAGAATTTTCCAGTCCAATATAACCAGGTACATTAAGGCTACTGAGTTTTCCGGTAAGCTGAACACTGATGGTTACCTTTTTAACTGAAAGCGAGTATTTTTCTTAAGGTTAGAGAGAAAAATTTAAACATCATCTTATATGATTTGTTGTACAATTCTAATCTGTCACTAATATTAATTATATCATTTGAACTATTTTTCATTGCCTCTGGTTAATTTCTGTCTATGGAGATGAAATGTGTAATTAGTTGATCTGATTCTCTGTTGTTTGAACAATTACCTCAAAAGTTGAAACGGTCACTGCTTTATTTATATTTATAAAATCAGTTGACTAATTCAAAAAAACCTCTGCTTATCGAATTTATCAAGTTATATCAGTTAATAGTTCTTCAATTCAGTTGGTCGTTTACTTTCAAGTAACGCATAAAGTAAAATTTATCAAAATGAACTTAGACTGATGTGAACAAATTTTTCTGCTAATTGTTAACCAATCAGAAAAAAGCCTCTTGCAAATGGAAGAGTTTATGGGATAGAAAAATAAAATTTAATGTAACTGATAAATGTATTAGTCTTTTCTACAAGTTGTTTTGTTCGTAAAATAAGAAACGAAAACCTGCCGACGTGAATTCATTCAGATATTGATAGATGCAACCATCGGCCGTAACGTTTATAAGAATGAAAGTAAATTTTTAGGAGTCCTTACATTGCTCTTGGTTAGGGTTAGGTAATTAGTGTTTAGGTTATAGCTTAATAAGTTTTTTAGGGTAAGAATTTAGGAAGAAGGTTTATTTACGTATTGTATAAACAATTTGCATAGTAAGAATAAAGTATTTTATATATTTACACAATATTTTACACCTCTTGAGAACTAACTACAAAACATTGTATTTCTAAGCTGCTAACCTCATTATAATACCTTTTTGAAAATCTGTAAACCACCCCTCTTTCTCTCTCTCTACACACACACAAACACACAGTGAAATACAATAAACGAAGAGCACCGATTTGATGAACAACAAATTTACATCGTATTATTAAAAAAAACAACAGCTGATCACAATATCATAATTAACAAACAAACTAACTAAGAAATTCATTAATTATTCGAATAAAAAATAATATTAGAAAAATAGCTGTTTCTGACAATTAATTTCCAGTTTTTTTCTTCGCTTTCTCTTTTGAGTTTTTATTCGTTGTCCTGTGGTAGAATACCGATTCGTTGAAGTGTTTTCAACTCCAATGATGTATGATATCGACTGAATTCATTATAATAAATTTGTTGAGATAAATCCGATAAGAAATTACACAGAAATTCCTATTCAAAAAAAGTTAATAAATTCTAACAATTAATAACATTATTGATATTTTACAACTAAAATTCAATTGTAGTAGTTCATTTAAAGCTCTCATCAATGATGAAACTCAGAATTTTCTGTTGTTCAGGAAACATCTATCCATCAGAACTAGTAAGTTCATGTTGAATGCTTTGATTCTTAATTCAATTAACTCGTGATATAGCAGGACGATAATTCAACTATTTTAGTATATCGAGAGTAAAACAACTGACAGCGATGATTGTCGTGCTATATTATCAATGAACTGAAGTTGCGATTGTACCATTTGATGTCGATCAAATTTTTCTGATGATTATTCATCTGAATGGGGACCTGAGGGTCGTGAATTCGCACTGATGAGGAGCCCCATATTAAGACGAAATAACCATAAAGAGATAACTGATGACTCAGTAACCACAGCGTTTAAATTTCATTCACAAAATATCAGGTTTGAACCGCGCCACACTTATTTAAGTTTGCGTAACCCGGTGTCAGTAGCGCTTGACTCAATTTCAAGTATACGTAACTCAATATGACTGATAAGTTAATTATGATGATAATAAGAGTGAGATCAATCTGTGACGAATACAACTAGAATAGTTTGTTTTTTTGTTATGAAATACATGAGAACTGAGAATGAATGAATAAATGTATATCTGAACATAAATATCTGAATTTACAATCCATCCTATACCTTTTACTAAACTTCTTAACTCATGACCGTAGCTGCTACCTTGACGTGATGGTCGGACTTGCCTATCGTGATCACCCAACCGAGCTATACTGGCTGGAAAATATGTTCCTGCAGGTCTTACAATGCCAGGCAGGTCGATTGGAGAACGATGAGACTAAAAGCAGCTACCTAAGGTCTGAGGGCGTAGTCGTACTGCTGACTGCAGAGGGGTGTGACAGCAGTGAGGCGTTCCCCTCGGACAACCAGCATCTGCAGCGATGCTGCCTTCTCACAAGGAAGGAAGGGTTAGAAAAGGTCGGCCCTAAAAATGTCACAGCTCCCCTAACTCATGGATTTCCGTCTCCTTGGGTAAGGGTGCCCACTAAGGGCCTTTAAGAACGGAGCTAATCCTCAAAAAACATTTCAGAAAAAGGCCGTGCGTGACCGGCCTCAAGCAGTTGTCCCTTGGACTCTGCGGTCACGCACCAACACTAATCTATCTTCCTTTTCAGGTCTCTCAAGAAACAACCTTCCACGGTGTGAGCAGCCGGGAAGTGATAACCGCCCTCATACCCGCAACAGCACACGAGACCAAATTGTTCAAAATCAAATCCTTCCTACATTCCCTAATACCTATCTTATCTCCACGACTAACTCTTCTTACATTCATTTATCACAGTGCACCGTCAATGCAAACGATGCGAGTTCACGAAACGTCGTTCCTGGTCTCCTTAAACCCCGTTCCAAACTACATGTTGGAGCATTCAATGTACGGACACTGTGTCAAATAGGACAACAGGCATCATTAGCTAGGACTTTAGAATCTCGTTCCATCGATGTGTGCTGCGTCTCGGAAACACGCATACAGGATCCGAGTAGCATCACTCATTTGACCTCACCATGTCAAGATAAAGAAGCAGCTCGATTTACCCTTCGTGTATCCGGTAGCCCTGATGCTGCTTCTAGGGGCCTCGCCGGTGTAGGTATAGCATTGAGTCGTAGGGCAGAAAAATCTCTCCTTGACTGGATCCCTGTAGACAGTCGCTTGTGCGCCGTCCGACTGAACGGGACAGTAAAGGCTCGGAAAGATAAGGACACTCGTCGTTGCCTCTTCGTCATATCAGCCTACGCCCCCACTGACTGCAGCCCAGATGATGTAAAAGATGAGTTTTACAGAAAGCTTTCGAACCTCCTCCAAAAAGTTAAGCGCTCTGATATAGTTATAATGGCTGGTGACTTCAATGCACAAGTAGGTAGACTAAGTGAAAATGAAAGACACCTAGGTGGATGTTACGGTCTCGCGACTCAAAGAACAGACCATGGCGACCGTCTGTTGCAACTATGCTCAGATAACCAACTATTTCTAGCAAACACTAACTTTAGGCATAAGGTAAGAAACCGTAAGGAAGCCTCTTAGGGTTTTACTTAATGATAATAGGGCGAAGAATATATTTCATGAGCAACTGGAAAGACAGTTAGGCGACCACTTAAGCGATTCCCATCCGGAGGCAGGTTGGAATGATATCCAAAAGGCTGTGGAAACAGCAGTGTTATCTGGTAGGAAGGTTGACCATAAGGCTACAAAGAAGCCGTGGATCTCAGTAGCATCCACCGATCTGATGGATGCCCAAAAACTCATCCCACCTGGCTCTGAACATGATGAAGAACGAATTCAGCTTAGGCGCAGGCTGTGCAACGACCGTGAACAGTGGTGGGTGGCGAAAGCAAAAGCGATAGAAAAGGCAGCGGCGATAGGCCACTGCAGACAACTTTTCCGACTTATCAAGGAAACTAGTATCAGAAACCCAAATGTGAGACTATTTCGGGAAAGGATGGGACTATTATTTATTCTCAATCCAGGAGACTGGATCGATGGGCAGAACACTTTAGGGATCAGTGTAACTGATCTCGAGCCACTCTTCGGTTACCCACGATCTCCAGTCATCCTGAATGGCAAATGGCAAACCAGTCTGTCATTAAAAGGTGTACCAAAGAGGTACATTAACCTCATACAAGCTCTCTACTCGAACACCACTGGCCGAGTGAGAGCCTATGGCGAACTGTCATCTGAATTCTCTACATCAAGTGGTGTCCGTTAGGGATATCCACTCTCTCCATTCTTGTTTAATTTCATCATAGACATGCTCCTAGATATAACCTTATCCTCGTCTGAATTTTTCTACTTGGTGAAGACGCTGACAAAATGCAGTTTTCTGAATATCATAAGCAACAATGCGAGCATGTTCTGGATGCGGTTTTCCCCCTCAAAATGCAAAACGTTGCTTCAAGATTGGGTTGAATCGGCACTTGAACTAGTGATAAGGAGTGAAGTAGTCGAACGTGTAGACCGCTTCACTTAGCTTGGGAGTCTCATCAGTGCTGATGGCCTGGTGACTGACGAAATCTCGGCACGGATACAGAAGGCTCGATTGGCTTTTCCCAACCTGCGTCACTAATGGTGTAGGCGAGATATCCGTTTGCTGAATAAAGGACCGATGTACGGCGCAGTAGTTCGCTCCGCCTTACTTTATGGCTGTGAAACATGGCCAGTGAGAGTAGAAGATACTCGTCGGTTATTGGTTTTCGATCATAGTTGTCTTCGAAGCATTGCTCGTATACCCTGGGACACCCGAGTGAGCAACGCTGTTATTAGAAATCGGTCGCTAGGTAAGGTAGGCAGATCAATAGATGAAGTAATGAAACTTCATCAATTGAGGTGGTTGGGACATGTGTTGCGTATGCCCAGCCACCGACTGCCTCGTCGAGCTTTGTTTTGTAGTGTAGGAGTAGATTGGAAGAAAACTAGGGGCGGCCAGACCAAAACATGGAATAAATGCATGAAGTCATTGACGAGTGGACTTAGCCATATCGGTAACTGTCGGCTACCTGGTTGGGGTCCGCGAGATGATAATAATAGATGGTTACAGATCTTGAATGACATGGCTCAAAATCATTCGCAATGGCGCCAGTGCATTTATTCTTTGTGTTCTCTCAAACCCTAATCTTCTGGATTCTTCAACACCTTTAGTTTTGAATTTCTAGACCTTTCTCACTGAATCATATTTCTTGAATATCTTCTAATCCTTACGTCTTCGATTACTTCTAATACCCCTACTACCTCTTCTACTATTGGATTTGAATTGAAAATTACATCTCTGTTCTGATGTGGTATGGCAACATGAACTGATGTACTTACGTACGAAGTTCTACGTTGCATCTGACTGACTGACTGCAACTTCTTAACTCCATGACCAAACCTTCACGCGCTCTCATAAAGTAATAGTAGCGAGTGATTTAAACACTCAAGTAAATAGGATAAACTAAAAAGAAGGACACCTAGATGGATCTTATAGTGTCGTGGCTAGAAGAAAACATAACGGCGAAAGTCTGCTGCACTTAGGCACAGATAACCGCCTATATCTAGCAAATATTAACTTAGGACATAAAAAATCATATTTTATCATGCCGACACCCAAATTCGAACAACGTTCGAACCAAATATCTCACATCGCTATCAAAAGCCAAGTCAAACACAGATCATCATACGTGAGCACAACAGTTCAAGTTGTAATACCACATTAGCAGATAGAGGCAATCGTAAATACATATCGCATAGTGGTAGACGTAGTAGAAGTATTAGCAGTATTCGGAAAGATTAGGATTCAAAGAAATGATTCAAGAAGTTGAATCTAGTGAAATAAACTTAAAAAGAAAACGATAGAGGTGATTAAAAATCCAGAGGAATAGGATTTGAGAGAACACAAAGAGTGGATGCACCTGCGCCATTGCAAACGGTTTTGAGTCATGTTGTTAAAGATCGCTAACCATCGTGTACTATCATCTCGCAAGCCTCAACCAGGTAATCTACACTTACTCACATGACTCAATCCACTTGTCAGTGACTTCATGGATTTTTGCCATGTTTTGGTTTGGCCACCAATAGCTTTCTTCCAACCTACTCCTTAATCACAAACAGATCGCTCGTCGCAGCATTCGGTGGTTAGGGATAGGTAACACATGTCCCAACCACCTCAGCTGATGAAGTTTCACTACCTTATATATTGATCTACCATACTTCCCTAGTACTCGTTTCCTAACTACAGCATTGCTTACTCGGTTGTATCAGGACATACGAACAATGCTTTGGAGACACCTATGGTCGAAAACCAGCAACCTACAAATATTCTCCACTCTTACTGGCCATGTTTCGCAGCTGTAAAGTAGGACGGTAAATCTGTCCTTTCGTTGGTAGACGGATATTTCGCCTATGCCATAAGTGATGCAAGGTGGCAAAAGCCAATCGAACCTTCTGTATCCGTGCTGAGATTTCGTCACACACCAGGCCATTGTCAATGGCGAGAACTCCGAGATAAATGAAGAGGTCAACACATTCAGCTACTTCACTCCTTATCACTAGTTCCGATGCCGATGCAAGCCAATCCTGAAGGAACATTCTGCATTTCGACGGTGAGATTCGTATCCCGAACATGCATACATTGTTGCTTATGGTAGTCAGAAGACTGCGTTTCATCAGCGTCTTCACCAAGTAGAACTATGTGATCGCATACTATGGATCAACAAGCGGGTCTCTTGGTAGAAAGTAAAGTCCAGAAAAGTCAGACGGGGATAATGTTATCTCTAAAAGCAAGTCTATAACAAAATTAAACAAGAATGGAGAGAGTGGATGACGTGGACCAACACCACTTGAATCAACCAATCCCGATGGCAGTTCGCCATAAGCAGTTACTCGACCTGTAGTGTTCGAGTAGAGAGGTTTATAAAGTTTGTGATAATGAAGGAGTACGTTGGAAGAAAGCTATTGGTGGCCAAACCAAAACATGGCAAAAATCCATGAAGTCACTGAAAAGTGGATTGAGTCATGTTGGTAGGTGTAGACTACCTGGTTGAGGCCCGTGAGATGATAGTACACGATGGTTAGCGATCTTTAGCAACATGACTCAAAACCGTTTGCAATGGCGCAGGTGCATCCACTCTGTGTTATTTTGAATTCTAATCTGAATTCATCATGACTTTTTTTCTCGTTTTAAAAAAACGATTCTTCTTGAACGATATCTTCGATCACCAATCTCACCGATTACTGTTCATAGTTTTACTATCTCTAGCACGGTGGGATTCGAATGGACAATTGCATCTCTGTGCTGATGCGGTATGGCAAATTGAACTGATGTATGCATGTACGACGTTCTTTGTTGTTGTTGATTTATTTACTGTTTAGGGTTTAGGGGTTGGCCTCCTAATCAAAACACGTAGTTCAGTTTTGTCAACTCGGTAGCATCAAAGCCGATATGAAAACTCATTGATTTGTGTGGTGTATGAAAAGTTCGGTGCCATTTTGTAATAAAAATTATGCATTTAACTATACAATACAGTATTCAAATTTATAAGAAAACCGGCAAGATTTCATAGGGTAGGTAAATCTTTAATAGTCTCGAACGGTAACAACTATGGATTAGATGAGTGTGATACAGTGTCTAACCACTCATTATGTATTTTACAACATAGGAACACAGTATGCATGCTAAGTTCAAGGTCACACAGCTGAGTATTGTTAATGCTAATACTAACACAGAAGCTGTTAGCAATGACATGCTGATCTCTCAGTGACAACTATTTGAGTTTTATGTGAATACGAAACAAAGTAATAGAGGTTCAGATTACAAGATAAGTTTTATCATTTCAATCAATATGCCTTTAATTCTTGAATTGACGTAACCTTTTAAATTACTAAAATCAGTGTTCTCTAGACTTCTGGGAACACATAAGTAAAAAATTATGTAATATAAATATATTCAAATATAAAATTCCATTCACCTTCAAATTTACATTCATAATAGTATCCACTGAATAGATTGGATCTTCTAATGTAGTGATATCATCGTCTTCGGTATTGGCATCACCTGTAAAGATAAGTGTTTCAGAAGAACAATGAATATCCCTCATATTATCATAAAAATTAATTACATTACGAATCAATATCACCTAGAAAATCATAGACATTATTGAATCCTTAAACTATTGGTTGTTAACTATGGATCAACAGTTTTTTATTGTTTGCTAAGATTACTAGAATATGAGCTGAAAAATCTCCATAATTTAAAACTTATTATAGGAGATGAAATTAATGGATTGAAGATCTCTCAGCTTACGCGATGAACTGGCCTAGTGTAGGACTCGTTAGTGGACATACACGATCAAACGCAGGATATTTAAGTTTAAGTGAGCGCTTAAACTTTAAATCACTGAGTCGACATCTAATAGGTTACATTATCAAATCTAACCATCTTTTGAGTAGCCTCCTCACATCTGAAATCGTTCAACAACATTTGTCAAGACTTCTTATTAGGACTTCCAGAATTACCAGTCGAAATCAATCACAGGAAGTGATAAAAACTATGAAATCTGTCAATCTCCCAAAAACTCTATACACCAACAGTATTCATGTAAGTTTATGGTTAAGTATTAATTTTTAAACTTTTTCCACACACAACAAGTGTAGAGAGAGAGAGTTCACAATTTATCAGATATGAAACAGTGATTTTAAAATTACTGAAAACTAACTATTTCACATATAGAATAACTTTTAAAAAAATTAATGAAGTATGAAAAAAAATGAATTACTGTTTTTTAATTTTTAACAGTTATCTAGGTTATACTTGATTTTTAAGTGTATTTTCAAATCAGAAGAACGGACCGAAAAGCAGCCAGTTACATTAATCATTCAAGCATGTGAACATTGTCAGAGAACGCAACTGTTAATATATACATACATTATTATTAACGATTGTCTACGAAAGGTACTGCTGAATCGTTGACAAGACAACACTAGTAACAGCCTACTGTGGCAGAGAAAAAATCAGCTTTCAGCTGAGGGAGAAGTAAGAAGTGGATAGGTCATACACTGCCGAAATACTGAGACAAGCCCTGACTTGGAACCCTCAAGGTTGCAGCAAGGAGGTAGACCAAAGAACATATTGTGCCGAGAATCGAAGACACATAGAAAGAATAAATAGCGATCGGCAACAACTAGAAATGAGAGCCCAGGACAGAGCTGGCTAGGGAATCCTGGTCGGCGGTCTATGCTCCATGAGAGGTAACAGGCGTACGTAAGTAAAAGTATCACCCCGAGTCTTTGAGTTACAATTTTATTCAGCAAGAAAACAGAGTAGCATCAAGAGATAAAGTATAATGGTAACCAGTGACCAAATGTCAGTTCTTATGCCATTTGTTTCATTAAGATTCTGGAGTCCATGTACACGTACACTAATGGTCTGGAATTAGAGCCTCTCAACTACCCTAGGTGAACTTTTCGCTCCCGTTGCCCCAGTTTAGGAGCCTGATGTTCGCTTTTCATTCTCTTGCTTTTGTGAAAGAACTCTGTTGAGAGGGGAGTGCGGCTATAAAAAGATGGCCGTATGCGAGCATTTCAAGAAACAGAGCAGACTCTCCTCGTCCGGAAGTACTAGGGCACTTAGGCATTGAGCCTAAAATTAATGTAACTATAAGTAAAAGATGTTATCATGCTTCTATTTATTTGCCCGTATGTTAATATTAATCTACAGTTAGACTATGCATAATAAGTTTAGCCTGTTTCAAGAATATGGAATTTTAGTCAGAATAAACGAAGATAACTGGAGGTGAGTTAGTCAGTCAATTACTTTCATTATCAATTCATGCCACATACATTATCATATGGATCAGAAACATTATTGGATTGCTATGTTTCTTGTTGTTAAATAGGAGAACGTATGTGAATGAAATTGTTCAATATATGTGAGCAGTTGATCACTTACTCACCTACCCCAATCTTGAGCGAGCTGATGACCCTTGTGCGGTTCGAACGAGCGTCACGCAACCTTACAATCTTAAAGAAGCTCAGCCAAAGCCTTAAGACTGTGGAACTGGATGACACAAGTTCGAGTCCATTAGGGAGCATCAATTCCCTCAAGACTGTGGAGATTTTTGCCAATTACTTTCAACTTTCTAAAAGCTAGAATAATTCATTCTAGTTTTAAGAATAATCTAACTGGAAACTATGACTGAACTGCAACTAGATTATGCTGTGAGAATGAATTGATAACAGCTGAAATAATTAAAATGCACGGATCCAGTTCAAAAACTTGTGACAGGTAAATAGATACCACTATTGTGTAGATATGTTTCATTTTAAGGAGACGTGTTATAAAATGATCATCTTTCGACCTAACATCCTCTGTCGTTAAACCAGTAAATGATGCATTGTATTGGAGAAGCTGTGATGCTGAAACTAGTTCCTCAAGACCGCAAAACCAACAGAATTATCGTCATTACCCGTCATACAACGGAGGGTCTTAAAATTACCATCGAATGTGAGCAACCATTTGAAGACAACAAACTAAACACAGAGAGCTGCCTTGAATCTTCAACTTGGTGATAGGGTTAAACATGATTCAACACTTATTTATCCTCTCAGAAAATAAACACTTTATTTGCTGTTTCCTGTCAGTGTATAATCAATGCTGAGTAGTGTAGAAATAGACTGATCACTCTTTCTTCAACAATCGACTGGTCGATAAGCTGCATACATTTTCTGAATTGAATATTTAAACAAAAAAATTATTACCATAACCATTTGTTTTATTTTAATCAATACGTAATGCTACATGAACAAATTGGAATGGCCAATCAAAAACTAGTAAAGCGATATTAAAAAACAGCTGGTTTCTATTTTAGTTCTCTATCAGCAGTTTTTTATTTATTGGGATTGAATGAAATAAAACACATTCAAAGCCAGTTTCTTTCTCTCCCTCACTCGCGCGCGCTCCTAGTCACTGACCATTGTGTTTTCCATTCTCGGTTTCCTCATGATTTTACTCATTGAGTCCTATAAATTAAATATCAAAGTCATTTGTCTAAATTACAAACTTCTCTCTCTCTCTCTCTTTGTGTATGCATGTGCGGAGGTGAGATATTTTCGAAAAATTATTTGCAGTTGGACCAATCACTATTTGTGTGATAAATAGACTACTTTTTGGTTGTTTGTAATCCAATAATAGAAGTTATTTACATTTGACACTGAAATTGTGACCTATTTCTAAGTAAATAATAATAGTAGTTATAATAATTCGATGTCAATGTAGTGGTTAGTTAACAGTCGATTTATTGATCGTGTTTTAAAAATATTTTAAATCTAAGTCATTATTGTTACACAATATTTTGTGGTCAGTTATAAACTAAAGTACTAAATCATCATCATCATCATAAGTGAGTGGCTTTATGCACAGACTGGGAGTAGTTCGTTTAATTTTTACGTAAGAAAAAAATTATTCCACTGTTTCATCTGACTATATATTATATAAACCTCTTATGATTAGAGTATTCGATTTTTATTTTATTTTAAACACACAAAAAATTGATAAAAATAGGACGCCTAAATACATATGCATCACTCAAATCAATGAATTTTTGAGTGGGCTGAGAAACTGTTCAGATGCCCAAACCGAAATACGTGGTTTTATTAAGTGCAGATCCTTGAGTCTTTGACATACAGATCTAATCCCTAAGTTAGTGGAGATTTAGTCCTATAGAAACCGGTGGCCAACAAAAGGTTGAAACACCATCCATTCAGTAAATATGGTGGGGTTCATGTGCACCATTAGTTCGGAATTAGGGTTTACCCAACATCTATTAAATGAATCAAATATCATTAATGATTAGTCATAAATACATTTTATCCTAATAAGAAACATAATATAATAGACAAGTTGAAACACAATTCAATACATAACAGCCAAGACCTTAGTGCTTATTCATCCTTAAGTTCTTACTAATTCAATAGCTAATCAGATGTCAAATAGAAAGCAGATCATTTCTCTATTGTGTTCAATTCGATTATCACTCACACTCCATACAATATTATACACATACTTAAAATCATTGACTACACAACAATTCGAATAAGAAATTATACTCTTAACACAATCATACCATAAATGGTAGAGAGCCGATCAAACATCACATACATAATTAGAGATAATAAAGTAACAGAAAAACATATACCGACATTTAATAGGTTCATTGAAAGGTTACAATTAGGGGAGTAAAAAATGCCACAATAAACTTAACTATTCATTAGGTAATAAAAAAATATGGATCATGATAGTGATTCAAAAAATAGCACTGGTGGATAGAATCGAGGATTCACGTTTCGTCCTACTTAGGACTCACCAGCTAAATGTTCCTGCATCTCAGAGTTAATGTTCATGCCGGTACTCAAACCCAGTACCTTAAGCTCTAAACGCCATAGCGTTAAACACTTATCTACTGAGTTCAGATAGCCATTCTTTCATTCTGTGCAGTGAACATTAGTTCATTTGTATTGACTGTTTGAATCTTTCCACTGATATTTAGTACTGCAACTGATCAATCTATTTAACATATATCGGTGGCACAATATTCCCACACAAACGCATACACAAAGCCACATGGATTTCACCAGACCACACTACTCAGAACAAAATTGACCATATCTGTATCAATAAAAAGTTCAGAAGGACCATGGAGGATGTGAGAACCAAGAGAGGAGCTGATATAGCCTCAGATCACCACTTGCTGGTCACTAAAATAAAACTGAAACTCAAGAAACACTGGACAACGGAGCAAACAACATCACACAAGTTTAATACAGTCTTTCTTCGGGATACCGTAAAACTCAACGAATTCAAGATAGCCCTCAGAAATAAGTTCCAGTCCTTGCACGATCTACTCAATGGAGAGGACGCAATATTGGAGAACAATTGGAAAGGGATCAAGGAGGCAATCACTTCAACATGTCACGAAGTTCTGGGTCACAGGAAGTACCATCACAAGGATTGGATCTCTTTTGGTACTCTTGCAAAAATTGAAGAAAGGAGGAACAAGA